GGGGGGTGATTTCTCGCTTTCTGTCTCTATGTCTCTCTCTGTCTGTCTGGCGAGCGCACGCGCCCTATAGCGAAAATCTCTCAAAAAAAAAAAAGGAAGAAAAAAATAAATAAATAAAATAAAATGGGGGAGGGCGAGTAGGACGAGCAGATGGTGTAATGGTTACATCACTGGACTCTCACATAATCAACCATGGTTCAAGTCTTGGACCTGGCAGCTTAAAACAACACCAGGCATGTGTTAATATGTGCTGAAAATCCTGAGAGAATGGAGGAGAAGGGATTATAGTGTGGCCATCCCCCCTGGGGGGGGTGATTTCTCATTTTCTGTCTCTCTGTCTTTTGCTGGTCAAATTTAGAAATAATAAGTAAAATGCATAATTCTTTAAGTAAAAAAAAAAAAGATACCCACTTTCTTCTTCTGTTTATTTCTGTCAGGGTTCAGTACAGGAACAAAATTCACTGTAGTTATTCTTCAGCTTTAATTAATTTTAACATATAAAGAGTTCCTTACATGGTGTTGAAAAGCATGGAAGAATAGGTTCCAGGTGAGGTCTCCAGGAATGACTCCTGGTCTCTCAGAATTGACCCACCTGGGGAGCTAGTATGTCTGCTCTAGGCAGAAGGTGAAGAGGTGAGATCTACCCTTTGCACTAATATCTTTGGGTTCATGTAGGGAGTACTGTAGCACCTTTCTAGGAGGAGGGGCCTGGGCATAAGATGTTGCAGTCTTGGGGCCAGCAGGTGGCATGGTAGTTAAGGTGCTGGACTCCCATGTGGTCATCCACAGTTCTAGTCCCAGACCCAGTGGCTTGAAAATCATGCTTGGAGGGACCAACCAGTGGCATGGGAGTTATGGTGCTAGACATTTCCACGTGACTGACCATGGTTCGAGTCTAGTCCTGGTGGCTTGCTTTCTCATTTTCTCTCTCTCTCCATCTCTCTCTGGTCAAATTAAAATAAATGAATGAATGAATAAATGGAAAATTAAATCTTTTTTTTTAAAGAAAGAAAGAAAATCATGCTGGATATATGTGAGTCTGTGCCCCAAAAACCTGAGAGGAAAATGGAGGAGAAAGAATTGTAGTTCGATCATTCCCCCTGTGGGGTGATTTCTCACTTTCCCTTTCTTTGTCTCTGTGAGTGTGTGTGTGTGTGTGTGTCTCCATCATGCACACGTGCCCTATGAAGAATTATTTTATTGAACTTTCTTTATAAAGAAAGAAATTTGACCAGAGAGGAACACAGTGGGGTGGGGGGAGTGAGAAAGCAAGCTGCCAGTTCCAGGACTCGAACCATGGTCAGCCATGTGGGACTCCAGTGCCCTTAGCCACCACTCCACCTGCTGGCCACCTCCCAAAAAAATCTTAAAAGAAAAAAAGATTGTTGCTTCTCCATCAGAACTGCTTCTTGGTACTCAAATCTGTATGCCATTACCTGCAGAGGCTGAAATTGGCCTTCAACTTCTTGCCTGCCCAATAGTAACATGTGTGTCTAACTGCAAGAATTTAGTTCATGTTCAGAATTCATGCTGCAAGGGAACAAAATAGAGACTTGGACTTTCCTGTACTGCAGCATAGGACAGTATGCCAGAGGGACAGCCCTGTGACCTGCTGTTGTGAAGGTCAGCCCAGGTGAAGTGGGCAGCAGGCATTAGTGGTAAGAGCTTTCCTGATGTAGTTTCTGATATATACTATGTGAAGAGAAAAAGGTGTGCCATCCCTTAGGTAAGAATGTTTAACTTGGCCAAAAAGGTTGAAGTGACACCCAGTTAATGTAAATTCTGAGCCATCAGGCTAAGGGCTTGTCAGTTTCTCAGTCGTGTCTTTTGTAGACCCAAAGAACACAGAATTGACCTGATGTCTGTTCCTGGTGTGTATCATGCTCATTGGTCTATACATGGTTTGCTTTTGTTTATTCAGTTAATTATTTTTAACGTACTATAAGCACTGTAAACCTATCTCCAAATATAGGCTTCATTTTTGGACGTGGCCTGCATTGGCCATATGAGCACAAGGTGGGACATGTGGAAGTAATCATGTGGGCATCATGTACTAAGCACCATGTCACTGGTGCTGGGCAAGTGTTCATTGTCTTACTTAGTCCTCAAAATAGCATAGCAAGGCACGGGTACTGAGAGGAAGCCACATCGTTCCCAGGTTGTGTGGGCAGTATATCATGTGGCTATGTATGCATTCCCAGAGACTTCCCTAAAAACTGTATGTCAGCTGCTAGGAGACAGAGTAATGTACCTGGGGAAAGGGCCTTGATTGACCAGAGAGGTGCACAGATCCACTGGGAGTGGGTGAGGAGTGGGGCCCTACAGCTCACCAGAGAATCATACAAAAAGTTTCACATTAGAAACAAATGCTTCCGGGTCTGACAAGTGGCTTGATGGTTAAAGGCACTGGACACCCACATGGTTCAAGTCCTGGACCTTGAGGCTTGCTTTCTTACTTTCTCTCTCCTCTCTCTCTCTCAGTCTCTCTGGTCAAATTTAATAAATAAATAAATAAATGAAGTTAAATAAAAGAATTTTTAAAAATAAATGAATAAAGTTAAATTAAATAATTCTTCAAAAGAAAGAAAAAATATTTCTATGTAATCACTCAAACTGATTGCTTCTTTCTCATGTTTTTTTTCTTTTTAAAAGATTGTTGATGGTGAGTGGTTCCATCTTTTTTTCACTGGATTTGGAGAGAGTATTGGCATGGGTAAGGGCTACAACACTACAGGCCTTGCCAGGCCATCCTACTCCAGAGATCAAAGAACATCAGGCAGGAAGATGCCTATGATAATACTGTGGTGAGACCTGTATGATCAGTCCTTTTACACCTCCTGAAGGAACTTCACCCCTAGTACTGTGTGGAACATCAGTCCTGCCTTGGGAGCAGCCAGATTTTGGAGAAAGCTGACAACCGTAGACTGTTCCACAGTTAAAGGAACAGAGAAATTGGGGGGGGGGGTGTGTTCCTGGAATGATCGGAGAACAGCCTTTGGATTTGGGTAGGACCTTCTGGGGTATAGCTGGGCTTGGCAACAGTTTCTCTTTGGGGGTCCCAGACAGGGAAGGGAGGTCCCTTAGAAGACACCAGGTGGGGTGGTGAGAATGTAAGAGTAGGAAACCTCACCCTGAAAGTGTAACTCTCCTTTTAGAAAGAAGGAGACCAAGGAGGAACATGAGGAGGCTGCGCCAGGACCATGCTGACAGCTGTGTGGTGAGCAGTGATGATGAGGAATTGTCGAGGGACAGAGACGTGTATGTGACCACCCATACTCCCAGAAATGCCAGGGATGAGGGAGCCATAGGACTCAGGTACCAACTTGTCCTCCACTTTGCTTTTGCTGGACTTGGGGGTAGGAAGCCAGGATATAGAAATACGGCACTTTTCTTTTTAAAATATTTTATCTAACTTTATTTACTTATTCATTTTAATCTGACCAGAGAGAGAGAGAAAGTGAGAAGGCAAACTGCATATGGGAGTCCGTTGCTCTTAACCACTAAATATGTTACTTTTAAGCAAATCTATGAAACGTTGGTTCTAGAAGGGCTTGCCCAAACATCTGCCCAGCAGCTGAATGCAACTGGAACTGGATCCAGAGCTGGGCTTGGTTAGTTTCACAGTGGCCAGGGTGTACTAGGCTCTGACGGGGTAGGTATGGATAGGCCTGGTGACCCTAGCTTCCTGCAATAGGAATTTTTAAGGATTGACCTATGTAGCCCTGGTCCCAGACATGGATCCCTGAAGAGGCCCCTGATCGAAGGCTTAGGGGAGGTCAGGGTGACTCAGGTTGATCATATCTTTTTTTTTTTTGGTTTTGGTCTATCTTCTCCTCCCCTCAGGCCATCACACCACATCCCCTTAGGGCCGTCAGCTTGCCTAAAAGTTTATTGGATGTTTGTGCTAAGGCAGAGTCAGAGGAAACCAGAGTGGGGCTCTTATGGGGGATACAGGCTGCTTATATGAAGACCACGTGTAGAACATAATTGAATGTTTGAGTTTACTGAGAAACTGATGGGAAGCACTGTGATTTTAGGCCCTCTGGTACTGTCAGTTGTCCGATCTGCATGGATGGATACTCAGAGGTAAGTAAACCTAGCTGTGTCTTGCTTGCGTCTGGTTTCTAAACTGCTTCAATGAAAGAATTAGGTGAGATAGGATCTTTGTGGTAGGTGGGATTTGACACCTCCCAGTATCATGTTTGTGCCAACATGTGGCTTGTTGCAGATCTGAATGGGAAAGGAGAATGTGCCAATATTCTCTTGGGCCCTGTGGGGCCTTCACCTTCAGACAAGGAATGCCCTAGACTTCCCTGTGCAAATGTTTCAGCCTTCGGTGTCCTTCATCCTGTCCCTAACCAGAAGCTACTAGTCTTGACAGGGGTCCTTCCTAACCCATTTAGACTGCTGCTGCTGGAAAACTGGCTCCTGCCCCTTGATTTCCATTCCACAGAGATCTTATACACTTGTCTGAGACTACAGAACATCTACTCTTAGTTCTCCAGATCACCTCCCTGCTTGTCCTGCTTTGGGCCCAGCCTGCCCTTCCCTCTCATTGATCATCTTAAGAATGGGCAGGGGCAGAATTCTCTGGAGACCACTGCTGCTCTGGGTTAAGGGCATGTTTGAAAGGTGTTCTTTTTCATGTCTTCTAGATTGTGCAAAATGGACGTCTCATTGTTTCTACAGAATGTGGCCATGTCTTCTGTAGCCAGTGCCTCCGTGATTCCCTTAAGAATGCTAACACTTGCCCAACATGTAGGAAAAAGATCAACCACAAACGGTACCACCCCATTTATATATGAAATGAAATGTTAAGAACTGCTCAGGAAGAGACCAATGGACAGACAGACAGCTTGGCTGGGTTCTCTGCATGGTATCTGCCTCCAATTTCCTGAGCTCAAAAAGACTGTTTCAAACTGTCTTCTATGTAAACCACCCTTTTGTTTTCAACCCCCTAAGATCCTTTTGCTATCTCTAGTTCGATGCTATGGAGGTAGACCCAGGCCTCCCAGCCAGGCTCTGCATCTCTGCCTCTCTGGTGTGTTTGGTTCCAGAGTAGGAAAAAAAAGAAATAAGGCACATTGGAACTGAGAATTGTAGTTCCAGCCTCTTTCCAGAACCTGCAAGTTTGCCAAGAAGTTTTCCCTGTTTGGAGAATTTGCCCCAGCTCTTCCAGGCGCTCTCCTATTTGTCCCAGGCATTTACCGGTCAACCAGTTTGCCTGCTTCACAGTGACCAACCAAGCCAGACCTGGTCTGCCCGGCCTGAGGATCCCAGGTGCAAGAGTGACCCTCCAGGGTTCCAGAAAGACCAACCAGTGGACCTTGTTTTCTTCCCTTGAAAGTCAGAGGTCATCCGTGATTCTGCCTGTGTCTTATCATTGATATGCAGTGATTTCTGCAAATTGAGAACCTCTGCAGGGAATCTCGTTTCCTGAGAATGAAAAAGTGCAATAAAGCCCATTCTTTACCTATTTTTCAGCAGCCCAGGAGATGTAGCACTGTTAGTATCCCCTCAGGGGCCTGATGTCACCTGTGGAGCACTGCCTGTCCCACCCATCTTTGTTCACCAACTATTCTCAGGACCTTACCCATGCTTCAGAGTTCTTCACCTGGCACAGAACTTGCAAGGTGAACAGGGCAGACGTGTGTTGGAGTGTCCTTTCTCTTTTATGATAAAACCTATCCCATGTTTGCCACATGCCCTCCAGTCCTCAGTTCCTCAGTTCTCACTGCCTAATGTCTGCCCAAGTGTAGATGCTACTAGGTAGTGGCAGTAATTGTGGCCTTAACAGCCGCTCACTTCATACTTTTGCCCAAGTCACTGTTGCCTCATGTTTCAAAGAACTTGGCCCACCTGACACGGCACTGACTTTGCTTTCTCATCCACCCCCACCAATTGAAGTTTATTTCAGAAGCTGCTCTTCTGGCCAATTGGACTTTAATCTTTTGGGCTTTTAACTGCTCCATGGATTCTGGTTGGCAAAGCATGGTGGCTTATTCTCCCTAAGGGACCCAGATGACAACCTCTGCTCCACTCCACAGGCATGTAGGAGCCTTGGGTTCTTGGAGGCAGTAATGTAGTCCAAGCTGCCCCTGTGCCCAGGGCAGAGGAGTGGCTAACAGGGGACAGGCCTTACAGTGCCAGCCTGCCTCCATCTCTGCACCCCCTCCCTCTTGGGAGGGCTTCAAACCAAACCAACAGCCTTTTTGTGTGAAACACCTTCAGAGTGGAAAGGGGGCCACTTCTGGCTTTGCTAGCAATAACTGACCTTCAGTTTATCCTTCTGAAGGAGCAGGGACTCAGCACAGAATTCACTTTAAATGGGGCTGAAGGAGTGTCCCTCCTCTATGTGAAAAGAAAATAGTTTTATTCTTCATTCTGACTTTTAATTGTTAGGCTCACATCCAGTTAGTTTGAATAAAAAAAGTAATAATTTTCTATTTGCAGTTTTAAGAGGGCAAGAGTGCCAGCTCTCATCATTGTGATGTGTAGCTTGCCTGCTTTCCAACTGGGCATCATTGCCTGTTCCCTCTGGGCTTCATGGAAATGCTCTTTTATTATGTTCTAATGATAACCCGGATATTAGGAACAAAGGCAACCAGGCACCTAGTCAACTAATAAATATGGTGACACCCATTTTATCCTTAAAGGCAACTCAGGTTGTTGATCATAAAGTTGTATTACTGTATCCTAAATTAAATTGGAGAAAAATTAAATGTTTATGCTATTCAGAAACAGCATACTAGGAAAATATTGGTATTGAAAAAATTCCTTTCCCTTCCTTAATGTACATAGTTCAATTCTTTCTTTGTTATGTTTAAACTATATCCATGAACATCAGTCTGTTTTGGACTCCACTGCTAGTGTTAAAGATGGAAATAAAGACATTAATTTGAACCAAATATGTTTTTCATGCATTCATTTGCTCTTTAGAATTTGAATTAATCTCCCTAACTTGCCTGTTTTGCCGAGGCATCTTCTTCCATTTAAAAGCTGTTTATCCAGGGGCCAGCAGGTGGTGTGGTGGTTGGGCCGCTAGATTCCCCACATGGCTGACTGTGGTTCAAGTCCTGGACCTGGCAGATTGTGTTCTCTCTCTCTCATCTCTCTTTGGTGAGTGCATGAGCTTTGTCACAAACTAAAAATAATGATAATAATGATAAATAAATTTTAAAAAGAGAGAAAAAACTATTCATCCAGAAGCCAATGTGAGAGGTCATTCTTGGAGCAGAACAAGTATAGGTCCTGAAATCTCTAAAAGAACTGAGTGTACTCTTTTTTTTTTTTAATTTTTTATTTTTTTAGAGGTTTTGGCTATAGGACACGTGTGCTCGCCAGACAGACAGAGAGACAGAAAGCAAGAAATCACCCCTCAGGGGGGATGGCCACACCGCAGTTGCTTCTCCTCCATTCTCTTGGGATCTTGGGCACACACGCACGCGCCCAGTGTGTTTTAAGCCACTGGGTCCGGGACGCGAACCACGGTTGACTACGTGGGAGTCCAGCGACATAGCCATTACATGCTAACTGCTGGTCCCAGAACCGAGTGTACTCTTGAGAGGTAATGTTTGCTAAAGGATTATTCTACTCAGCTTGGCTCTGAGCAACATATAATGAGTGCCTACACCACCCTTGATGACCCAGACACAGACACTACCCTTTAGGAGCCAGGACTCAGGAGGGGTGAGTGTGCCAATCACTACTGTGGGTGAGCAATACAAGAGATGCTGAAAGGAAGAAATGGGCTTTGCTAGCAATGGGAGAACTTTCCCTTTGCCTCTCTGCCTTTCCATGCTTACCCAGTAATCACCACGGGTCTCAAAGGGTAACATACTGGGTGCTTGGGGCTCAGAGGTCTACTTACTTTCTGGCAGAGATATTCATTCCCGAATGAATGCCTTCATTCGGGACCAGCAGGTGGCATGGTGGTTAAGGCATTGGACCTTCCCACGTGGCCAACCATGGTTCGAATCCTGGACCTGGTGGCTTGCTTTCTCACTTTACCTCTCTTTGTGTGTGTCTCTCTGGTCAGATTAAAAATGAATAAATAAATTAAACAATTCTTTTTTTTAAAAAATGCCTTAATTTAGATGTTTTCTGCTTGCTAATAATGTTCTTGGCTTCACAAGGGTGGCTCTAGTGGTTATTGAGACACCAAACACTCTGTTTTACTGAGGGAATCACTCCTCCAGACAAGTAGAAAATCAAAACTTTCCAAGGATGAGGTCCAAGAATCTGAAAGAACCTGTAGCAAGAGTTTAACCTGTCCAGGAAGATTTTCATGCGGAAGAGAGGCTGAGCTGCCATCATTGAGGTCTGAAAAGTCAACTAGGAAAAGAGGAAAGGAAACATGACAGAAACCCTAAGCAGGGATCCACTAAAGGTGCTAAGAGAGATTTCCCGTTTGTTGGCATATAGTAAGGCCTGCATGCCTCCACAGTATGTGACGGTGTTAATGATGAGACATTTCTTGAGTGACTACCCCTAGACCTGGCAGTGTCCTTACTTTTGGTTGTGAAACTGGAAATCGGGTGAGGGGAGGACAAAATGGAAGAACAGGATTCACAGGCCCACACTGACTGAATGGGCCTGGTGTTAAACAAGCGGGAGCCCCCACGGCTAGCTGCTGAAGAGGGTAGTGTATAGGTTACTTCCCTCCCTACATACACCAGAGAGAGGAAAAGAGGAAGCACCTCCTAATGGGGCGTGGTCACGTCCATTTCTTCATTTCTCCATTTCTTCATCCTATCAAGATTTGGGGTGGGGGGAACCAGCAGTTAACGTAATGGCTATGTCGCTGGACTCTCACGTAGTTGACCACGGTTCATGTCCTGGACCCGGTGGCTTAAAACACACGCCGGGCACGTGTACGTGCGTGCCCAAGATCCCGAGAGGAGAATGGAGAAGAAGGGATTGGGGCGTGGCCATCCCCCCTGGGGGGTGATTTCTCACTTTCTGTCTCTCTGTCTCTGTCTGTCTGGTGAGCGCACGCACCCTATAGTGAAAACCTCTCAAAAAAAAAGAGATTTGGGGTGGGGCCGGCAGGTGGCATGGTGGTTAAGAGGGCTGGATTCCCACATGGCTGACCATGGTCCAAGTTCTGGACCTGGTGGCTTCCTTTTTCACTTTCCCTCTCTCTGATCAAACTGGAAAATAATAAAGTTAAAATTTTTTTTTTTAAAAAATTCTTAAAAAAAAAGATTTGGGCCAAATACAGTACAAATACAGTATGTTTTTCAGGCCAGTAGGGCCAGGGTTTGAAGCATAGTCAACCACATGGGATCTGGCTTTCTTAGCCACTAAGCCATAGTACTAGCCCAGTCTATTTTTGAGGTTTTCAAATGATATCTGAGCAGTTTTTTGGTTTGTTTTCATTTTTTAGGTTTTTGCCATACAGCACATGCTCTTCTGAACAGAGACAGAGGGAAAGAAAAAAAAGGAAAGAGAAATCACCCCCTAGAGAAGATAGCCACACCAAAAATTGCTGCTTCATTTTTTTCGGGATTTTGGGAATGTATGCACCCACACCTGGCATGATTTGCAAGCAACCAGGCCTGGAGCTCAAACCGGGGTTGACCATGTAGGAGTCCAGTGCCTTAATTGTCATGCCACCTGCTGGTCCCTCAAAGTTTATAAAAGTTTATTTGTTTCCCATTTTGGACTGCACTGGGTCCACTCATGGGTCTCTGAGACATGAAGTATTAGTTATTTGAACAGGGGACCAGCAGTTGGCATAATGGCTGTGTCGCTGGACTCTCATGTAGTCGACCGCGGTTCGAGTCCCAGACCTGGCAGCTTAAATTCATGTGTGTGTGTTGATGCCGAAGATCCCGAGAAGAGAATGGGGGAGATGGGATTGCTGTGTGGCCATCCCCACTGGGGGGTGATTTCTCGCTTTCTGTCTCTGGTGAGTGCAAGTGCCCTATAGCAAAAACCTCTCCACAAAAAAAAAATAAATAAATAAAAATGAATAAAAGTTATTCAAACAGGAGAAAGAAGTTGTCTTTGTTGGGGATGACTTTACTAGAAAATCACCTAAATATGAAAGATTCAGGGACCAGCAGATGGCGTAATGGCTATGTCACTGGACTTCCACGTAGTCGACTGTAGTTCGAGTCCCAGACTCGGTGGCTTAAACTCATACACGGCACGTGTGCATGCGTGTCCAAGATCCCAAGAGGAGAATGGAGGAGAAGGGATTGCAGCATGGCCATCCCCTCAGGGGTGGGGGTGATTTCTCACTTTCTGTCTCTCTGTCTATCTCTATCTTTCTGGCAAGTGCACACACCCTACAGCTAAAACCTCTCCAAAAAAAAAAAAAATTCATTAGACCAATGGGCTTTTTTTTTTTTTTTGAGAGGTTTTTGCTGTAAGATGTGTGCGTGTGCTGCCAGAAAGACAGAGACAGACAGAAAGTGAGAAATCACTCCCTAGGGAGGATGGCCGTGCTACAGTCCATTCTCCATTCTCCTCCCAGGATCTTGGGCATGCATGTACACACGCCTGGTGTGAGTTTAAGCCATCAGGTCTGGGACTCGAAACATAGTTGAACTACATGGGAGTCCAACGATATAGCTGTTATGCCAAATGCTGCCCCCTGGGCTTACAATTCAGGAAGGCCAACATAGCACATCTTGAACTGAAAGCCACCTTTTGCCTGCCAATACTTGGTGTAAAGAAGAATCCTTCCTGCCCACTA